TACTTCTGGGCACAAACCTTCCAGTTACCTCATGTACATTCATGTACATGAATTTCTGTTCACAAGGCCCATGAGAGAAAAGTGGCATTATTTCTGCCATGTATTTGGCTTCCAAAAGCCAGAAAGTAACCTCCAGTTTATTTTAGATCATGCCAGAAGTGATTTATCCAAGATCACAAAGAATAGCTACAGAAGAACCCACTTTACCTGAATTTTAGCTGCTATATCAATTTCCCTTTATTCTGATGGTGAACGGTAGACACATGAAAAAATACTTTATTTATTAAAAAAAAAAAGGCTTAAAATGGCACAAATGTGAACTGAAAAGAGAAATGGATTTTATCTGCCTCACAAGGGAGGGAGAAATTGGTCTGGAGATTCATTGTAGAGAAATGAGTGAGTTATTTTGCTGACTGTCAGTGGTAGGTAACAATGTAATTCAATAAGTGAAGGCCAGGTTTGAATAGATAGAAAATTAATCTTCAGCCACTGTCTCCTGTGGGATTTTCCGGTGCCAGTATTGATTGCATTTCAGCTCCTGACTTGAGAGAGAAATTGGTTGGAGTTGGATTTTAATTATATTCACATGCTGGATTACTTTCCTTCAAAATATGTCATTTGCTACTTTCCTGAAAACAAAGCTTAACTGGATATTAAAACTGGACCAACCAATGCCACAATCTGTCAGGCTTTTGATAGAAATACCAGACTAAAATAATTAATAATTTTTTTTTCTAGTTTAGATGTAGGTTACTTGAAATTCATTAATTTGGCAAGTGAAAACTAAATGGTTTTTACTTTATACAGAAGGATCCACTATAAACATCGGATGTGTAAGGCCTGGCACAGCACTAGTCTTGCTGGTCAGGATGCAGTGGCCCAACTGAGTGCAAACTTATTTGCCTGTAATGTTTCTGATAGTTGCCTGTTGTGTGCAGAACTAGCACAGACACCTGTAGATATAATAGAAAAATCAACTCTCTGTGAAGGAAACTTCAGAAATTTTAAAGGAATTTTTCATTTGTTGTCTCTGGCTTTGGGGAGGTAGATGGATGCATTGATTCAATATCAGAGTTGCACATCACAAAATACACCCAGGAAAAGTCAACAATTGGGATGCAAAGGCTTCTAGGTTATTTTATCAAGTTCTGATAGATCCACTGCCCCCCATCAAGGCTGCAGAGTTAGATATAAAATGCAATTCAGCTGGAGAAGTGAATCAATTAAATTGAGAAAAACATGGTTGAAGAGGTTTTAGATTAAATTTTATGTTTTGGTGTCATGGAATATTGGTAGGAAGAATTATAGATCCAGTCTTCATCATAGCCATTTTTTCGAGGGGCTGGGTGTATGTGCTGTTAGAATTGTGGGAAACAGACTTTGTGTTTCAAAGTTTAAAGCGTTTGGGCAGATTATTTAAACCTTTTCAGTTTCAACAAAGTTTAGTCAAATTTTGGCAGTGGACTTGAAGCTTCTTCCATAGCCCATGAGTGATGGGAGAGGAGGAAAGCTAGTATCTGTTACTTGGAATGAAATTGAAATACCAAGCAGAAGAAACATGTTAATTTTATGTTCAGATGCTTCAGGAATTTCCATCAAAAATGTAATAAACCTGTAGTATGAAAATTTCTGTGCAAGACTTGCTAGGATGGACCTTACAGTCTACTCTCTTTCTCTTTTATCATACCCCCTCCCTCACAAATATTTCTTATGGAAAATTAGTTGGAAGAAATCTTATGGCACCCAGCCATTACAGTGGTTTTTTGTAATAATGTGCCTTGATGGTCCCCAATTCTTTTCTGAATTATTCCGTGAAAGCATCGAGAATTTGTAGACATTGATACTAATTTCAGAAATAAGAATGTTAGGGTCTTTTTTTTTTTAAATCAAATGGCTTTCAGGCAGGTGAGAAATTTTCCCGCATGAACGATTGATTGCTGAGATTGCATTTGTAGAATTAGACAAACTCATTACTTTGAACAGCGTGAAGCCAAAAGATAACTTGTGAAAAGAACTATAGAGTTTGCTTAATGTATAGCATTCCAGGTCGGGGGGAGTCAAGTGTGATAATGTAGAAAAAAAAAAGCCCACCAAAAACCTATGTAAAAATTGAGCCAAATTACATTGTCTGAAGCTATCATAATGCCATGTCATTTCAAAATCGTAGTAGACATAAGCTGTTACTGATAAACATGATATAAACTGTGCTCCAGTTTGTACATTTCTAAGTAAGTTATTATGGTTTGTGGTGGGCCAACCTTGGTTGGCCACCAGGTGCCCACCAAGCTGTCTCTGTCCCTGCCCCCTCTACCACTGCCCAGCAGAAGAGGGTGGAGAAAATAGGATGACAGAAAACCTATGGGTCAAGATAAAGGCGATTCATTAAAGAAAAACAAAGGCCATGCATGGAAGCAAAGGAAAAGAAAAAGACTTATTCTATACTTCCCATCAGCAGGTGATGTCCAGCCACTTCCTGGGAAGTAAGGCCACTATACATGTAGCAGTTGCTCCAGAAGACAGACACCTTAATAACAAAAGCCTCCCTCACCTCCTCCTTTCTCTTAGATTTTATTGTTGAGTACAACATCATATGGTATGGACTATCTCTTTGGTCAGCTTGGGTCAGCTGTCCTGGCTATATCCCCTCTTGCCTACTGGCCTTTGGAGGAGGTGTTTGGAGAGCCAGCCTTGGTGCTTTGGCAGCACTTCCAAAACACTGGTGTGTTATCAACACCTTTCTAGCTACAAACATAAAACACAGGTGCTATGGGGAAAATTAACTCCATCCCAGCCAGACCCAACACATGGTTTTACTTTCTGGTAAGATACTGGGTGGCATACTGGACCAAAACATTTCAGACTGCATTGTACAAGTATTTCCTGGTTTTCTAATCCACATTCAAAAACTGAAACATTACTGTCATAAAAGCATCTAAATACACAAATATGATATTCATAAGTCATCTGGCAACCTCCATAACGGCAGGTCATTGTGTCCACTGGAATTATTAATGAAAATAATACCACACGTGAAAGTAGAAGGCACCATGTGGTCTTAGGTATTCCAAGGAGCAGAATATTTTGGGGTAATTTGCACATTTTATCCATTTAGATTATTTAATGCCATGATATACCTGGAAAAACGTTTGTTTAAAGAATAAAGATTATCCCTTTCTTTGAGTATTAGAAGTTACGCTTTGCCTTCTGTCTCATCCACCAGAGTGGGGTTAAGTACTAAGTAGCAAGTTCAACTTCTTAACACAAGATATAGTATCTATGCTGCGTACAAGCATTCAAAATTAGTACCTACCTTCTTTTTTTCCAGAAGTTTAATAGCCTTGTATTGTGAGATTCATCTCACCTAATTCTGGACAGCTGTGTCGCAGACTTCTCCATCTGGGCGAATTGCCCTAGGGCTGCCTTTATAGTCGCTGGGCAGAAGGCAATTCTAAAGCATGATTCATGTCATGGGAAAATAGTGTCTAATTGAGATGAGACGAATTGCACTCTAAAAGTGCCCGTTTCTCCTCACTGACTGTGAAGTCAGCCTGGGGTGATGAGTTCAACACTGCTGTGTTGTGGAAATCAGTGGATGTCACTGGTTACATGAGTTCTGCCTTCTGTATTTCTGAAGGAAACCACCTCCTTGAAACCCATCTGAGACTGCTGCTTACTTCAGGCAATATTTGAACCTATACTTAGTGTGATATTTGTCTGTAAGACAGTGATGGAGCAGATGAGAAAACACATGCAGTTGAATTAGGTTACTTTGTGGGTAATTTAAAACTTATCTGTCTATACTTTGTTAGGGGATAACAGACACATTGGCAGTATATAAAGAATAACCTCACCACACGTTGACCAGAGAGGTGCTTCTTTGTCAGCACTATTTTTCAAGCATAATACATTTTCAAAAACTGATGACTCTGTAGTATTAAATATATCACTATAATTGCCTAAAATTGCCAGCCTGAATAATGATATGGTATCATAGTTGATTTATTACTGATGCAAGTGGCAGTCTACTCATGCCATGGAGCCTCCTGGTCAAGCTGCAGCTGAGCCAGGTGAAGACATTGCAACCTCCCATTTGGTCTGTGCTACTTCCTTGATTTCCACGCTTCATGCAATTTTTGCAGCTAAGTTAGAGAAATCCTCTGCTTTTCAGAATTTTTAAAAAATAGTCTAGATGACTGAATGGATTGGAGGGAATCAGGAAGCTGGAGAGCAGGCAGGTGAGAGAGGATGGGAACCTAAGACAGGCAGATGGGCACCTGAGTTTTTGGGAACCTTTCCAGCCAGGCATCTGTAGCCAGGAGAGTATGAGATTGCATCAAGACTTATTATTGAAAAAAAAAAAAACAAACCCAAGGAACAAAACTGATGTCAAACAGAAGTTCTAAGAATGGTCAATTTCCTTTCTTTGTATAGATATGCACCACTGTTTCTCAAAAATTTAGTTATGAAATGTATATTAGTGATATCATTTTAGAATTTGTGATTTACTGTATAATCTACAGAGTGAAAAAATGAGATATATAGTATTCATATTTAAGATTCAGTTCAAATTATTACATGTAATAAAAGGTAATGTATTAACCCTGTCTTATGGGTATAAAATTTTCATGTGCATACGAAATTTAGATGTGTAAGATGTTAGGCTCTCACTTCTCTTTTGCAGCCTGTAATAAAAGGTAATGTATTAACCCTGTGTTATGGGTATAAAATTTTCATGTGCATATGAAATTTAGATGTGTAAGATGTTAGGCTCTCACTTCTCTTAATTTCATTGAATTGCATCAGGTACCTCATAACTCGAAATAAAGTATACACAAATATTTCTGGACCTGGAGCAAATAAGTGTGTTTCTACACAAATGCAAAATGTTAGCTACGAAAGAAAGGCTATAAGTCTGTTGTGTAAAAGGAGGAAAATGTGAATGCAAATGTTTTCAGCATGCTTTGTAATATTTTGTATTTTTACATTCTCTCTTTAAAAAGTCTGATAAGAATGACACTGAATCTGGCAGCCAGAAAATCAGACCAGTATTTGAAGATGATCCTGTTTTCCGACGGCAAACATCGTACCAACATGCAGCAGTCCACATACCAACAGATATTTATGAAGGCTGTAAGTAGCTTGTGAACAAAGCGATTTCATGTTAATACTAATCTTATTATTTGTGTCCCAATCTTAAGAATAAATAACCTCCAAACACAATTTTCATCTCCATTTTTAGTACAGATTTACTGTTACTGTTTTTTTATACTTCTTCCAGTAGTACTTCAGAGATGTGCTCTATTAGGCATATGATTCATCTTATGAATTAGTAGGAGTTAAAGACATCCATTAGGATTGGATCTGGGTTTCAGAAAGGGAACAGGAGGTGAAACAAAACTCTTAGATATTCTAATTTTCTTATCCATTCTTTCTCTATGCTGCATTCTTGTTTAATACAAACAATTTTTGACAGCTCTTCTTTACATGCTTTTGGCCTCGGGCAGAGATGCATACTGAAAACATTTTTGTGTATCCCAAAAGCATATACAGTTCAGGCAAACATGTTGTGTGAGATAGTAGTACTTATATTGCACACAGTGCAGTTCCAGAATTGCAGTAACAGACTTTAGCAGAGAATTTGAATAAACTCTTTGTAAACTATGTAAAAACAAAGTAATTTATATATATATGAAAATATGCTTATACTACTGAGGATTCTTTAATTATATCTTAAAATTTAGTATTTAAGTTATCTTTCAAGATGGAAATAACTTCTTTTTTTTGTGGTCATCGTCAAGAAAAAAATCATTATCCAATAAAGATATTTCAGCATTCAAAATGGCTGCATATTTTTAGAAAAGGGGAAGAAAGATGAAATAGGATCCATATTTTTAAGGGTTTTTTTTTTTAATTTAGGGTTCTAATATCAAGTATGCAGTCTTTCTCCTCGTTCAAAATCTCATCAAGAGGAAAGAGACCCTAATGTGACCTGAGCTCTTTAAAATTCATGGCCACGGTTGCGTGCAGCTTATATAAATGACACGGGGATGAAAATGGAAATGTCAGTATGATGGGGGAAAGAATCATAGTAGCTCGTATTCTTATATGGTGTGCTTGACTGACAGACCTAGAGGATTATTCTGGGATTCTGGCTTTAATAAGTGGTAAAGTGCACCTTAATTGCAGGATTACAGGGAAGAAACAGACTGTTTCCTTTGTTTTTATTTGAAGAGAATTGATTCTTCACTGATAAAACGTTGTAAAACCATGCCTCCAATCACTAGACTATTTGTAAACACCATGTGAACTTTGACATATAATTGTCATCATAACAGCATGTAAAATATTTTGTTGAATTTAACATTTGAGATGGTATTCCTAAGGATACTTGTGTCCTTTAAAAATGCGTGTTAGTTAATGTTACTCTACTGCCTGTTATCCTAAAAATGAAGATGTACAACTTTAGTATCCAATAAAATTATAATAGCAGAGAGAAATGTACATTTCTTGAGAGAGGTAACTGCATATGCATCATATATGGTTCATGAGAAACTTATGATTCTGTGGGTCTGGTTATCATGTTACCAGAGATGTGGAAGCCTAGAAAATTACCTGGAAGATTGTAATTCCGCATCAGCAAAATCCTGTTGTTGGGTAGTGGGATAACTTTTGGTTTCAGGTGGTGCTTTCAGAGGCAACAACTTGACAATACCTAAAAATCACAGATCTCATATAAAAAAACACAAAGTCATCACCAGTTTTTGTGGTTTTTTTACAGAAAGAAAGTTCATGTGTTGTCTGAAACAGAGTGAGGAAATGGAATTGGAATTCACTAACGAATTTCCCAAACTACAGTTTAATTTTCTTTTCACAAGCAATATTATCCACAAATTTTATAACCCTAGAAAGTGTGATAATGGCTCTTGAACACAATTGCCATTTTTCTTCCTGCTCAAGAAGCTCACCTAAACTGAGCTAAACTGTCATTTCTTGATAGAGGTTCCAGTGGCCACTACAGTAGCAAACACTTGTACACATTTTTTCCCCCTTATTGTATATGTTTTGTAAGATGCCAAGAGAAACAAAGAATGTGTCTTTGGATGTCACAGAAAAGGTTTCAATGACTAGATATTTGACTTGCCCAGTCATCCCTGAGTTTGGTTTTCATTTCTATTGCTTCTTAAAGTAGCAGGCTGTTGATTCTAGGGGAGAGGGAAAATTACAGTTAGAGCCACACGTGTTCCTAAATCTGCATTTTCACTTGCACCTGTTGATCATGTTTTGTCATGTTAATTTTTTTTTTTTGGTGTATGAAGCTGGGATTTTGAGAATCACTGACTCCTAAGCAATATGCTGTCTGTGGCAACCTTTCTTCCCTATTCAGGTTTCATTTTTATTGCAGTTATTAGTTATGATTTTTTAAAATATGAATCAAAAATCAATTTTCTGTCATATGAAATTCCAAATGTATGGATCCATCCTCCATTTAGCCCTTTGAAACTGGTATATCCAGTAACTCTCTAATGATGTGCCAGCTATATAAACCTGACAAAATAACATGCTATAAAATATTTTTTTCTTCCTACGTATATAGTGATTTGCTTATTTTGAAATACAGTGACGACCTAGTTGTGGAGTAGTCCCTTTTATTTCACCATAGAAATACATGACAAATCGTTGCAAAATATCCATTTACTACATCAAGTTTATTACTTTGGGGGTTATTTGATTGCCAAAATGAATATTATGAAAGTTGGTTTTGCTTTCTCTCCTCTGTATCTGGTGCTAAAACCTTAGTAGAGAAAGGGAAAAGTCTAGAGAGTTAATTTTTCTGATGATTACAGTCTCACCACAGGAGAGGGAAATCCAAATAAAATAGACCCCAACCAGGCTTTTAATTCAATATTTTTAAAAAGTTCCATTTAGGTTTTGAAATAAAATCAATCTGCTGCTGAAAACAGAACAGACCCTCAGGTTATCTTTCCACCACATGTACTGGGAATTATCCATGCATCTCCTATTAGTAATAACAGAAGTCTTATTTCTAAATCTCTGTTAAAAGTGTACCCTGCTTATCCCTAAGCAGAACATGGGACCTGCAGGCCAGAAGTAAGAGGAAATCCTCAACACAAGCCAAGTGAGGTCAGTCTGCCTGGTGGGTACCACCACACATAGCCCTTACTGTCTGAGATGCATCATGTGCCATCTGCTGCCATGGTTGCTCTAGATGTAAGTCTGTGCTGGTGTTAGAGTTTTAGGAAAGGTGTTAGGCAAAGCACACAGACAAGGACTGCTTTGTGTGTGTGTGTGTGGTTACTCCTGCTTTACTTCCTCCAAATCAGTAATTGATATATTGCTTCCACATGTCACCACTTGATTAACATTGAAGAGTTGATTAAAGTGTCAGGTTGACGGTAACGTGTCTTGAACATGATGACATCACTTAGAATATGTTTGGACAGATACCAGCAAGAAAAAAGGTTTACCCTGCTTACAACCCATTAAAATAATCATAAACAAAGTAACGATTAATTGATGGTTCTTATAGCTTAATGAGCATAAAATATACATACTGTGTTCATACACTCATTTTATTGGGATGGGAGTCAAAACTTTTCTGCTCTTTAAAATCTTCTAAGATGTATATTAGATTTTGATACCGAGTTTGGTAGTGGACATCAATTTGTACTGGTGCATCATGTTTGTAAATATTCAGATGTTAATTAAGCGTTTTAACATTATAGTGCTTAGTACCGAGGAGCAATTAAAACTTTTAGGAATAACTTGAAAAATTCTGGTTTGATGCTACAGTGGTTTTTACCTTGACTAGTATTTTATCTCCAGCTGGAATTTTTGTGCTGTTATTTCAATTTATTCACTTTCTGAGTTTCTGAAAATTCTGAATTTTCTTTCTTCTTGGGTATGTCAGGCTATGAGGTTGAAAGGAAGAACTATTATTTGGGAAGAAATGTAAAAATATTGGAAAATAAAACCATGCGAGCAAGAATATTCACCTTCAAAAAAAAAAAAAAAAAAGCTAGCCCCAAACCAACTCCAAAAAACTAAGAAAAAGTGCATTACCATTTATCATAGAAGGTCTTAATAAATATGATTTATTTAGGAATCAAAATATTGATAAAGTGTTGTGTAAGAAATTTGGCAGTATTTCTCAGCAGACTGAAGGAGCAATAAAACTTTTTTTGTACTTTTTTTGTGTTAGTTTAAATAGCAAGAACAGACAGGCAAGACAGTTTTTTTCAGTTAAATTACTTGGTTCAAAAAAGATTAATGCTGTTGATATATTTTGGTTATAGCTAAGAAATTGAAGCTATTCAGAACTATTTTTCACAAGTTCTCTTCTAAGGGATAAATGGAGTTTATTTACTACAGGTGGGATTGAAAAAAATTATTGCTTTAAGTCTCTGATTCAAGTCCACACCTTTAAATAATGGAGGTTTGATTATATCATTATGTATGTCTCGTGCACATGGCATGGGAAATTATTGCTTGTTTTATTTTTTTTAATTAATATATTTTAATTACCAAGTTATTTGTGAAAACATGTAATGAGTGAAGTGGACCTTTAAATTATTTTTCAGTGTCAGCTTGTTTTAAATACCAAACACTGTGGCTTTGGGGTAAATATAAAGCAAATGTTAGTTGCCGCTAAGTCCCTAAGTGCTGCCTGGTTGGTTCAATACTAAACCTGGAAGGAAAATACTGATGCAGAAGCTTAAGCAAAGAACTCTAGGGTCAGTATTGCTTTTTATGTTGTGACAATTATGATTTTCATTTTTTTTCACCAAGTAGCTTACTAAAGGTCTCAAATGAAAAACTTTTTAAATAATCAGCAGAAAGAAACAGCTTTTCTAACTTGATGAAAGTGTTTGGTTCTGTCAGAATTCAGAGGGCCAAAAAACTTGAACAATATCTTCCATCATGAGGAGGTTCTTGTATTTTGGTGCTTGGATTACAATAGTTTTATTGGTTGGGCTTAACACATTTACCTGGCATCAAGTTAATTATGACTTCTGTCTTAAATTATCAAAACTGAAGATAATAAGGTAGGATAAAGAAAGATGGTCTGGTAACTGACATTAATTTGTTCCTCCTTGAAAGACCAAGTTTTG